ACATTTTGATACCAGAGGAGGTCTCGCAGAAGATACCAAAGGCCATGAGTAAACTATTGGAGGAGTTTGGTGACATGGGCAAGTGCCAAGGGGGCTTCCCCCTGAGAGAATGCGACCACGCTATAATCATTAAGGAAGGAACTTCCATACCAAATATCCGGCCCTATCGTTATCCTCACTCACAGAAAAATGAGATTGAGAAGTTAGTGGATGAGATGCTGGAAGCTGGATCATAAGGCCCAGTATTAGCCCATACTCAAGCCCGGTATTACTGGTAAAGAAGAAGGATGGGGGATGGAAGTTTTGTGTAGATTACTGAGCTCTGAACACTATCACAAGACCGGACAAGTTTCCCATTCCGATCATTGAGGAGCTGCTAAATGAATTGCGCGAAGCCCGAATATTTACTAAGCTCGACCTAAAATCTGGTTACCACTAGATTAGGATGAGGGAAGGTGACATCGAAAAAACAGCATTTCTAACACATGAGGGACATTATGAATTTTTGGTAATGCCTTTTGGGTTAACCAATGCCCCTTCCACATTTCAGTCACTCATGAATCAAGTGCTCTGACCTTTTTTAAGAAGGTTTACCTTAGTTTTCTTCGATGACATTTTGATCTACAGCCGAACAGAGGAAGAGCATGTAAGACAAGTGAGGGATGTGCTGAAGCTATTGAGGCAAAATCAGTTGTACATCAACAAAAAGAAATGATGTTTTATGGTTGCCAAATTAGAATATTTGGGGCATATTATCTCTAAGGAGGGCGTAGAGGCTGATCCCAAAAAGATTGAAGCGATAACTAACTGGCCAGCACCAAGGAATGTTAAAGAATTGAGAGAATTTCTGGGGTTAACAGGGTATTACAGAAGATTTGTGAAGGACTATAGGAAGATAGCGTGGCCTCTCACACAATTATTGAAGAAGGATGGGTTTTGCTGGAACTTAGGAGCCCAAACAGCCTTTGAAATTTTGAAGAAACCCATGACTTCTTTGCCGGTGCTAGCAACCCCCAGTTTTGACAAAGAGTTTGTGTTGGAAACTGATGCCTCAGGGACTGGATTGGGAGCTGTTTTGATGCAAGAAGGAAGGCCTATTGCCTTTTGGAGTCATACTCTCTCAAACCGAAACCAAATGAAATCTGTTTACGAACGGGAATTAATGGCAATTGCCCTGGCAGTTCAAAGATGGAGGCACTACTTACTGGGGAGAAAATTCATGGTGCATACAGACCAAAAATCTCTTAAGTTCTTAATTGACCAGCGAGTATTGGGGGAAGGGCAGCAAGGATGGATATCTAAACTCATGAGCTTTGAATTTTAAATCAAATACAAGGCGGGGAAAGAAAATAGGGTCGCGAATGCTCTCTCTCGCAAGTTTCAGTTGGCAGCCCTTTCCATGGTTACCTTCTCGGAATGGGCAGGACTAGAAGAAGAGGTTCAACAAAATGAGAAGCTAGCTAGTGTAATACAGAAAATTATACAAGGGGAGACTTCAGTAACTGACTATGAGCTTAGACATGGACGACTCTTTTATAAAGGTAAGCTGATTATTCCTAAGAATTCTTCCCGAATCCCTCTGGTACTCCAAGAGTTTCATGATTCAGCCATAGGCAGCCACTCGGGATTTTTCAGAACTTACAAGAGGATTGCAAGTTTAGTTTGGTGGGAAGGAATGCAGAAGACTATTCATGAGTATGTGGCTACTTGTGATACTTGCAACTGGAACAAGTACCAGACCCTAAGCCCAGCAAGACTATTACAGCCTTTACCAATTCCCCAACAGGTTTGGGATGACATTTCCATGGATTTCATTGGATGACTACCTAAATCACAGGGCTGGGATAGATTTACCAAGTACGGTCATTTCATTGGTCTCACTCATCCTTACACCACCAAAGATGTGGCTGGAGTTTTCGTCAAAGAGATCGTAAAGTTGCATGGGTTTCCGGCCTCAATTATCTCAGATAGAGATAGAGTATTCATGAGCTTTTTGGAAAGAATTATTTAGAACAGGAGGAACATAACTAAGATTTAGTTCAGCCTACCATCCTCAATCTGACAGCCAGACTGAAGTGATTAATAGATGCTTAGAAACGTATCTGAGGTGTTTTTCCAGCACTAAACCTAAACAATGGGCTAGGCGGTTGAGTTGGACTGAGCTATGGTTTAACGCCACATTCCACAGTTTGACAGGAACCACTCCTTTCAAGGCATTATATAGGAGAGACCCATCAGCCATCAGCCAAGGGGAGGAAGGCGCATCAACAGTGGAGGAGGTCAACATTGCATTAGCTGAAAGAGACCAAATACTTAGAGAATTAAAGGGGCAGCTGAACAGAGCACAAGACTGAATGAGGGCGCAAGCTAACAAAAAGTGGAGGGAATTGGAACTAGTAGCAGAAGAGATGGCTTACTTGAAAATCCAACCTTATAAGATGAAGTCTTTAGCAACGAAAACTAATCAAAAGCTCAGCCCTAGATATTATGGTCCTTACAAGATATTGGAGAAAATCGGCGAGGTCGCCTATAAGCTAGAACTACCAGAAGAAGCAAGGATACACCCTGTTTTTCATGAATCCTTGCTCAAGAAATGTTTGGCAGCAGACATACAAAGTCAACCTTTACCAACTGGCCTGAATGAGAATTGGGAATTGATGGTTCAACCCACTGAAGTTCTGGCAGTGTGGACTACCAACCACGGAGACAAAGAAGTGCTAATCAGATGGAAGGGTTTGCCGGATCATGAGAGCACTTGGGAGGTGGCAAAAGATATCCAAATCGAATTTCCCGAATTCCACCTTGAGGACAAGGTGATTGTTCAAGGGGGGAGTATTGTTAGAGACAAGTTTCCGGAAGGGCTGAAGGTCTATAAGCGGCAAAACTATAGGAGAGGAATTAGAAAATAGGCTGTTATATTCTGTTTAGGATTTATCTTTTGTTATTGTTTTCTGTTTTCAGTAGTTTAGGATTTATCTTTTGTTATTGTTTTCTGTAGTTAGGAGCATGATTATAGGAAACAGAATAGTTTAAATAATGGGGTTACAGATGGGAATAGGCAACTTGGATAATTACTTCAGTCTTAGGGCGCGGAGCCGCTTGAGAGCTCTCTTCCCATTGTTGTTTTCTGCTCAACTGAGCCAATTCAATACACACTTTAACATTTTGTTTCTCATACCTATCAATTTCCTTCAAGGTTCTTTTTTTGTCTCTCTCAACTCTTTTTCACAAGACTACAATTATATAGTTGTCAAGGTTGTCAAATTGGTATTCATATCATGAATCTTAAGATTCATGATCAATAATTAAAAATGCCATAAAAAAATATTTTAGCAGTTAGAAAGATCTATATATTGTAATTTTAAGTTAAATAACTCACTATACAGGCAATAAAGTGAAATATAAACTTCAAAATAATGAAAAAAATAACTACTCAAATTTAGCTCTATAACCCATAAATTTTTTTTAAGCAACAAGCCAACAACTATAATTTAATTATTATTTTAAAATTTTATAATACCTAAATATCTAACAACTTTTAAAATATTGGTATGATAATTAGTTATTTTTTCTTTTGTTCATTACATCTTAGCCACCAAACCACAAAAAGAAAAAACCCACAACCCATGACATGCTCTCTGCCTGCGCTAGACCTATCATACTCATAATCAATACAAGTTTTAGTCCCAATTGGATCAATGTATTAATCATGCTGACCCAATCCAAAGAACAAATTTTGGCCCATTATTGAGCTCATTTGCTCCTAGTTGATGAATGAACTTTTGACTCTATTCTGCAACTAGTAGTCTCGAGCTGAATAAAACTTGACATATGCCTTTATTCACCAATAATCTGACATGGGGCCATGGGAGAGAGATTTCTTCATTTTTTTTCTCTAATTTTATAAACGAAATGGAAAAAAAAACCCTAAAATTGATTTTTTTTTTTTTTCAAAATGAGTTGTTTAACCCTACTCACCCTCTGCCTGCAACACAGCTGTGCAAGAAACTGATGATGCAGCACAGATTTGTGATTCATCCAACACTAGAGTGATTCCCACAATCAAGATATGAGTAAAAGATGAGTCTTCATGTGATTTGTATCAATTTCTTCAGAAATTGTTTTGAATCGAGATATGAATCATGCAAATCTAACTACCATGATAGTTACCATATCTCAATACAGTCCATGCACAAGTTCAAAAAGCTGCAACTTGGCACCATTCCCAAACCAACAAACTTATACAATGAGTCTATTCACAAATGCAGCTCAATTGAGCCCATACAACTAGCAGACTATAATCCTAGTAATGAGAACACTAGCTATGAATGCTGCTCAGTCGAGCTCAATAAACTCAATGAATTATCGGAACCCTTTGGAGTTAATTTTAATGCAAGTGATAGACAATAATGGTACTTTCAATACTAACTTGTAGACCTAATCAATACCAGGGATTCCATTAATTTATGATTTGAATTCAGCTTACATATGAAATTATACCCTCCACATAATTAAATTTAGACAAATAACGTTTATAATGACAGACCAGACAAAGAATAGATATGCTTCTCATAAACCTATAGGTCTAGAGTTCCAACTATAGGCAGTTAGGCACAGAATCATAGATGATTGCACCACTCAATAGAGGCACAAATTCACATATGACTGACTCTATTTGAGTATTTAGATTAGACCAAGAAGAATATTCTGTCTCCTTCTTATAATGAATTCAATACTTAATGATGGACATTGTATAATCAAACTGGTGCAATATTCTAAGGAAAATATAACACACAAAGGGATAATAATCAGTCTGAAGCAAAGTTAAATCCTTATATAACTTTTCAGCAATTAGACATGCCCACTCATCTCCTCAATGGTTTTTAAATATTTAACACAATAAGTTAGTGGGAAAAAAATTGGATACAGAAATGCTAAGAGACACAATAAGAATTTTTAAGAAAATTGGAAAGAAAAAATTGCAATGAAGGCTAACATACCTATTGGTCCTGCTGGCTGCATGTGGTCTAACCATTGGTGTGGCACATGAGTCTTGAGAAGAAACAATTTCATCATGTTCAACAACAGAAATTGAAGATGCAGCCACTACAAAATTGAAAACAAAAAGAATAATATATATAACTAAGAATACTCATGTACAGATGAAATCCAGAACTGTGACAAAAGACTACCTGCATTTGAACTGTATTCAACGTCAGCAATTGACACTTCCGCATTTGAGGAGTTCATTTCTAGTCTTTTGTGCATTCTTTCCTCATCATCCTGAAGTTCCTGCTGCCGCATCCTAATTTTTGCCTCTATAACACGTTGCTCTTCCTGAATATAATTATTAGTAGACGACAAGTGAAACTTGATTCATTGTGAAAATATTTCAGAAAATGCATTCCTAAAAACAATAATCATGGCAGGTAACAACTTACAATCTGTTCCAATCCCTTCTCTTCTTTTGATTTCACACCACGATACTCCACAGCATAATTTGCTGTTTTGCAGAAAGGACACCTTATGCTGTTAAGGCAATTATTCTAATATTAAAGCAACAAGAGATGGAAGTTGCTAGACCAACAATAAAGAATCATGTCTTCATATTGAAGGCAAACAACTAGTAATGCAGGATACTGTGTGGGCCGAGTAGAATTCGGAACTTTCATCTGCAAAAAGCACTCTGATAAAAGGAAACTAATTAGGTAGCATACAAATGCCAATGAAAGAATACTGAACCAGTGAAGACAACCAACTAATTACCTGTACAAATGCTCTTTGTACAACATCTTGATCGGTTTAGACTTGGATAATACTGAATTAGGGCAATAGAACAAAAAACAATGGAATGAGACAATTAGAATAGACTCAAGGAAACAAGAGGTATTAACAGTCCAGAAAGTTTGTGTAAAAGAACTTGAAATGAGTTAGCGCAGTTCAATTGACTTATTTGTTCTTTTTAAAAAAATGTAAAGTAACAGATGTGTAGAGAGACACAAATATTGAACGTATGAGTAGAAACCACACCTGAAAGCAAATTGGGCACTCTTCACGATCGTAGGCACTTTCTTCATTTCCGGGATAGCAAGGCGCTAGCTTTGATTCAAGTATTAGCTTCCTCAGCTTCTTATGATCCACATCTTTATGATTATACAACCCTTGTGGCCTTGTATATTTCTCATCTACCACTTGTCTCCTCCTCCCAAGTTTATTACCCATCCAACAAAAATTCAGTTCTTCTTGTCTGCTGACTATGTTTAAAATTCTTCAACAAGATAAAACAACAAAAACCACTCGCTTTACAGTACCACACAATTACCAGATTGTATTAATAATGACATACTCAACCAACAACAATTGGTCAGCCTAATCCCCCATATACAGCACAATCAACAGACCAAAAAACTAGCCTTTCTCCTCAATTCACTAGCAGAAACACATCCGAAAGCCCTGCACCAGTCAACGAAAAATGCAGACATATAAGCAAAAACTCCCATCAATAATAATGATTAAAAAAATCCATAATTTACAACAGAATCCACTCAAAGGCTCAAACTTCTCCAAATACTCCACACTTCATCGCCAAAACGACCCCCCAAAAAAAAATCCCAATTCGGAAAACAAGCTTGCAATCATGAACATCAACAAAAAAGAATCCTAAATTTGTGAACGATCGGAGACCGCACAGCACAGGACTCACTCCAAACCATTTCGAATTGACAATCAGTGACAGTGGCAACACCAAGAACCCTAACTGCATCTGTGAGGAGCTCCAATTGAGGAAGCACACTAATTGGAAAAAGAAGAAAACAGCAAGAAACGCAACGGAAGAAGGTAAAGAGAACTAAGAGGGTACCAATTGGTCCGAAACCTAAAGTGCCACCAGAAGCAACACTGTTATCAGCATGAAGAAGAAGTTGATAAAAAGCTTTATTATCGAAACAGTGAAAGAGAATAAAAGGAAGTAGAAGAGAAGAGCGAAATTGGGAATCGGAAAACGAACCTTAAATGGATGAAGAGGAGAGAGAGAAAGAGAGAGACTTGAAGCGATGTAAGGGAAGAGAAGAGAAGAGAGGGAAGGGAAGGAAGGAGTAGTAGAAGAGGAAAGAATAATTTTTTTTTCAGTTTCTTCCTGTGCTAATGCTACTCACCAGCTTTCACGCGCTCGCCCGCAGCGTCTTCTATACTCGCACTCTTCTTTTCTTAAAAATATTGTTGTTTTTTTTGGTTTAAAAAATTATTGTTTTATGGTTATTGTTAAATTAAAATATTTTTAAAAATAAAATAAAATTTATATTATTAATTAATTAAAAATTTTAAAAATATATTTTTATTATAGTAAGATAAATTGTACTTTATTTTAATGTGCTTTTAATTTGTTTTCTTATGCTTTTTGTGAATAAACTTATCATAAAAGTGTACAATGATAAAAAAAAATTATAAGGAATCAAGCAACATAAAAGAATGTATGAAAATTTAGTTACATAAAAAATAAAGAAAGTAAATTAAAAGGGCATGAAAAAATTCACGTAGTATAATTAAAAAATAATTTATTAAAATAACTCATAAAAAATCATTTAATAATAAAGATTCATGTTTAATATATTAAAAAAATGTTTTTGCAGATAAAATTTATGTAAAAGTGTGTTATTTTAGAAATAAGATTGAATTTATTTCTCAAAACTAATTAAACAGTAGGTTTCTTTATTATTATTATTTTATTTGTTTTTGTTAATTAATAAGACTTAAAGTCTAAAATATAGAGAAACTTAACTACTTATTCTAAGTTAAGAAAAGTTTAAAGAATAAAGTCTCAAAAGAGCAGGGAACTTTGTCAAACTAGCAAGAAGACGTCACATCTTTAGCCTTAAATTAATTATCCAATTCGTATATTATTTTATTTATTTTTAAATATAATTAACTTTAACAAATTTAATATTCTTAAGCAAGAGCCTAATTTTCTTAATAACAAAAAAAAAATGTAATTGCTACTCTGAATGTTAAAAATTAAGGAGATAACTTCCTAACAATCAATTTTTATACTAATAACCTGAATATTCTTAAAAATTACAAGTTTAAAGTTCCAAGTATTAACTCATAATTCAGTTGTAGTAGATAAACAACACCAGATAGATATGTAAAAATCAGTTATAAAAACGCTATTGTGATCATGAATAAGACTTCCTACATGTTCCTTTATTGCCTTTCTTTTGTGAATACTAACACGTATTTCCATTTTTCAATTGATATTACTTTTATTAAAAAGTATGTGAAATTAATTTATTATCTTAGATATAAAAAAAAATATCAAATCATATTTATGTTAAATTATAAAATTTAAAAATCAAGTAGATGTAAATGTTAAAGAAAAATAGTGTTATTTTCTTTACGACTATCTTTAAATATTTAATATTAAAAAAATAAAAAATAGGATAGAATTAAAAAAAATAATATAAATTTTTTAGAATATTTAATTAGATTGACTTAATTTTTATAAGTTTATCTAAACTAAATCAATCTAAGCTCTGTTTCAACGAGCTTATAAATAAATTCTTATAAGATAAAAAATATAATATAAAAAATTAATAGAATTAATTTTATAAGTTAAAATTAAACCGTATGTCTATATTTTTTAAATTTTATTTATATTTAATTTTTTAAAAAATTTAAAAAATAATTTATTTTTAAATTATAAAAAAATATATTTTTTTAATATTTTTTTTATCAATGACATATCCATAAGTTTATCAAAAACCAAATTAAAATTATGAAAGAGTAGATTTAGTTGATTAGGTCAAGTTTTTTTTATAATAATAAAAAAATTAGTGCAATAAGAGTTTAAATTAATGCAAAGTTGAATTATATGATATTTAATATTTATTATCTCAAGTCGAAAAAAAAAAGGGTTAAGAGAATATAATACATTTATTATAAAATACTTAGCTATTTCCATTTCTAAATTAAGTTGCATGTTGGACAGTGACAACTAGTTATTCATCTTTTAGTCAGATACTTAATTCATATATCTCAGAAATTTTATATACGCATATCTCTTTACTGAATTCATACTAGTTATTCATGTTGGAAAATATGTATCTTTTTAATTACATTGTTTGTTTAAAAGATTAAACATGACATCTAAATTTTGATGATTGGGACAAGTGCAAATCCTGCAAATTAAGATTCAAGTTTGTTGGGTACTATTAAAGCCAATTTTAGACTTTAAGAGGTGCGATTATAACGTTAGCTTATTCACTTTAAAGCTGATATGTCGTAGTTGTTGGGTCCAGGTTGCCATCACTTGATCCCTATAAATGTTCAGAGAAATATTAATAACACTCACTTACAAATATTTAAAGTATTCTTTTGTTATTAAATGAATTTTATAATTTTTAAAAGTTAATAATAAAATTTGTTGTATTTATAAGCATGTAGAGAAGTGTTAAATACATTATAATAAAATATTTAATTATTTTAAAAGAAAATATTTTTTTATGTATTTTAATGTAATCATTTTTTTTTTTTACCTTTTATTATGTATTCATGGTAGCAAATAAGAACATATAGTTTTAACATTTTTCCAATGCAATATTATTAAGTAAAATATATACAAAGTCTTACTGTATTTAAAAGTAAGATTCACTGGTTAAGGATGTGTTTGACAAAACTAATAGATAATTCAGTTAAAAACTAAAATATTAACTAAAAGCTGATAGGTTAATAATTAAATTTAAAAAGTCTAGAAACTAATTTTAAAATAAAATAAATTATTTTTTTTAAAAATTAAACTAATTGATAAGTGTATATTAATTATTTGGTCATAACACTAAATTTAATATTATATACGTATATTTAAATTATTATCATTTTTAATCCATTTAAAAAATTTATCATCTTAAAAAATAAGATAATAATTTATTTTAATTATATTCTTATTTTAAAATATTTTTCTTAAATAAAACAAAATAATATAAATGGATTTATAGTATAACTTTATTTTATTTATTTTTATATAGTATACAGATTTGCTTCTTAATGATTTTGTTGAATCTTATACAGAATCTTAGCATTCTTTAGAAAGCAATCAAAATTACAACAATTATTTAGAGCATATTTGATTTTTTTAAAATAAAATATAATACAAATTTATATTAGATTTTATTTTGTGATGTGCTTTTTCTTTTTTAAATATTAGAGTTTAATCAAATAAAATTATATTCCTTTAAAGTTAAATTTTTCTTTTAATGCTTGAATAAAACTTTAAATAATATTACTCTGGAAAAAGTAATTGATTTCTTGACGATTTTAAATTTTTATCATTGAGATAAATTATTTTATTAATAATTATAAAAAACAGTGTTATCTGTCACAAGAAAAAGTGTTAAGAATTTCCAAAAATAAAAAGGTAAAGAAATGTTTTAGTAATAAAATAAATATAAAAATAGAGAATTAATAAAAAGTTATTATAAAGCCGCATTGTAAAAATCCTAGAGACTATTAAAACAACATACTTTACCCAATAATTTTATTTTAGTTATTAAATAACTTTTAATCCAATAAAGAAGTCAATTTTTTTTATCTTCACAAATACACTCTAAATAGGACGTGAGACTAATTTTATTTGAATTTAATTTAAATACTGCAGTGTAATATTTTTGTTTTTTTACACTCTTACCCAATCATGAATTCCCATATTAACAAGAAGTTTTAATTTTTATGATAATGAATAAAAAATCTGTATCTGTGATATATTTTAATTAATTAATAGTATAAAAATATTCACACTAACGGTACATAAAAATTAAAATAATTTCAAAACTTGCATTCATTTATTTTATTAGCTAAAAATTTTAGGTTCTTAAAATTCCATCAGATGTTAAAAAGAGGAGAAAAAGATGCGAAGAGGGTGTGGCTGTGATTTTAGAACGACAGTACTGCCTCGCCATCTACGTGTTTATGGTCACTTTCGGATTCAAGACACACTACCTGTACCTCACTTTCGAACCCTTTTCATGTTTTCACTTTTATGATTGTGATTTTTTTTTTCAATCAAAGTCTCACAGATTAGGTTGAATTTAATCTGGTTAAATTGAGTAGAGTTGATTTTTTAAAATCCAAATCAACCTAATTTAATCATAATCAAGTCATTTAAGATCAAATGATTGGGATTAATATTTTATATAAAATCTTTTAAACAATGCTATTTTATACAAAAGTTATAAGACAACACATTAAAATTTACGTGAATGAAAATTTATTCATGAGCTATGTCTAAAAACAAAGAAGAAAGTGGGTGGCACCGTGGAAGATTGAGTGGGCATAATCTTAATGTAACCCAATTTTCCTAATGCAAGTGGGGATGGACGGCCCAAGATGTTGTTCCCTTCTTTTAGAACATTATGCAATATTATACATCATATCATATTATAGCTGAAATGGTTGACCTAAACTCTATAAAATGATGACTCGTGTCCCCAACTTACTTTACTCACAAAATCAATTCTTAATTCCTCATCTGCATAATATTATTGTTATTCATCAGGTTTATACCTGTTCAAAACACAATCCACAACACTCTTTCAAAACATAAACCAAAATAAAATAACGTACATACTTCTTTAGCTTTATACCTATTATTATCCTTATATATTAAATAAAATTCTATTTTATAAAAAGCAACAAATTTCTTTAGCTTATTGTAATAACAAGTCATTCTTAACTTTATTATTCTGAATTTTTAATTTAAATTATTTATTTAATTATACATTTTTTAAAAGTTTAAATATTTGCAATCTTTTAGTTTCTAAAGTAAAATACAGTATTTTACTTGAATTAATCATGCATAATTTATTTTATTTACCTAAATTTATAAATATTGACGTGATTTGTAAGTTTGGTATTATTATTATTATTTTATCTTCACTAAAACCGGTCAGGACTGAATTTCTTAAAAAAGGTTTAGGAGGAAGGAAAATTATTATTACTTATTTCATACATACACATAATAGGAAAAATCTAAGGATAGAACTTTGTAAGTTTCAACTCCTTAAAAACTCCTTATATATTATTTCCTTTACAATATTGTGCTTTTTTTAACATTATGTTATATATAGCAGAGGTTAAGGCTGGACGTTTTGTTCAACC